TTGTTATAAATGACTAGCCACTAACCTACGTTTCCTGATTATCCTATATAGCTTATAATAATAGCTTTCAAAAACTAGAACTTTACCTTATATTTTAAATGAACTGCATAGGTATGGTACCTTAAAAAAGAAAAAAAACATATATACAATATGTTGTAACAAAATAACCTTAAATTATTATCAATATACAAAAATTTCCCAAATAAGAATGGAAACATAATACAGTGTGTTGCAACAAAAATTACCTTAAATTTGTGTCAATATACAAAAGTCTTTATGATACAAAATATTTGAGATTAATAGTTGTCCCTTAGTTTGTAGCAGATTCAGTAATCTACCCTATTATTTAAAGTAGATACAATAATCTACCCTTCTATCTTATCATTCCTATTGCCCCCCTTTCTTCTTTTTTTCCAAAGAGATCTCTGAATATAATATCATTTGTATAATTTCCTCCTTTGCCAATACCAGTAATAATTAATAAAAAGCTCCCATAAATGACAATCATCCATAACCCACCAAATAACCAAAACCACCCACACCCCTCAACTCTTGGGAATGTAGGCATAGTTTTCTTTCTTTTTTTTTCTTTTTTACTTTTCTTTTATTTTAAACAGGGGAGAGCGCGAACGCAGTCCCCCACTACCACAAATTATGCAGTCGAGTTTCCCGCATTTGGGGAAATCGCAGGGGTCAGCACATCTGGAGTGCAATGGATAAGCCTCGCCCTGGGAAAACCACCTTCGTGATCATGGTATCTCCCCTGCCAGGTAAGTATGGCATAGTTTTCTTTAGACTACTTCCTGTTGTTTGTGGACAAAGCATCTTTAAGGGTCCCTGAGAAAATTTTGAGATAATGACCAAGTCCTGGGAAGACAAGCAGTAACCTTTGTTGATAGATATCATCTGTCAAGATTCAGGAGGTCCCCCTTGATCACACCTGATCCATATTCCTGAAGGAATCCACAACCTCTCATCTGTGGGAACAAAACTCTAAAGCATTTTTTATTTCCACTTGACAAATACATTTTTTGAATTCTTTTTTAAAGTTAAGGCATTTCTAAAGTGTCTAGATTGGTTCAATTTAGCAGTTCAGCTCACAATCCTATGTCTCTTAGCACCTGTTGTTTGCTTATCAGCATTCAAAAAAATTCAAAATCAACACAATAACATACAGGATGCAGACTCCTTGTGTATTTCCATCTCTACATGGCTTATTCTTTTATATTACTTTACTTCTCTCTTTAAAGACTTTTTTATTTTTAAACTATTTCTTTTTATAACTGTCTATATTCATAGTCTTTCTTTCTTAAACCTACCCACATTGTAAAACACACTGGAATCTGTTTACAGGTCTTTTTCCATCTGGATTTCTTTTTTTTTTTTCTTCAAGAATTCATTTATTTTTTATGTGCACTGATGTTTTGCCTGTGTGTAAGTGCCAGATCCCTTGGAACTGGAGTTACAGACAGTTGTGAGCTGCCATGTGGGTGCTGGGAATTGAACCCTGGTCCACTAGAAGAGCAGCCAGTGCTCTTAACTGCTGACCCCTGTCTCCAGCCCCCCATCTGAACTTCTTTTACTGCATATCTTCCAGCCCTTTTTTGACCATGTAAGCAAACATTTAAACTGCTAACCTACACCTGGATCCTCCTCAAGCAGCTCTTGGCTGGCTCTGACCACTTCTGGGCTAGTGAAAGTGAAGCCTAAAGCTTGTGACCTGGTTGGAGGTGCTTGACTAAGAACTACAGTCAACCTTCCTAGAGCTCTAAAATGTCGATGCTTGTGCTGTGGCAGACATTTTTACTTAGTTTTTTTGTTCCTACTTCACATACTAGCTGCTCAAGGGCTCACTGATAGAAACTCTCTGGCAGAAACTCTTAAAAGAGCCATATTTTTGTTGTTATTTTGTCCCCCACCCCCACCTCCCCCCAGAGCTGAGGACTGAACTCAGGGCCTTGTGCTTGCTAGGCAAGCACTCTACCACTAAGTTAAATCCCCAACCCCTATTTTTTTTTAAGCTTTCTCAGGTACTATGGAAATTTGAGCACCACGTTGGTATGCCAAAATACAGTTTTGTTTGTTTTTGCTCTTTGGGCTCTTTGGGGGCCCACCACCCAGTTCCCAAATAAATTACACACCGAGGCTTATACTTAACTACAATTGCTCGTTCTTAGCTTGGCTTGTTTCTTGCCAGCTTTCCTTATCTTAAAATTAGCCCATCTACTTTTTGCCTGTGGGCTTTTCCTGTTTTCTTACTTCAGTAAATCTTACACTTACTCTGTGGCTTGCTGTGTAGTGGGGTGGTTGGTCCCTGGAATCCTCCTCCTTCTCTGGCACTTTCTTCTTCTTCTTCTTCTTCTTCTTCTTCTTCTTCTTCTTCTTCTTCTTCTTCTTCTTCTTCTTCTTTTCCTTCTTCCTCCTCCTCCTGCTCCAGATTTCTTCTTCTATATATTTTCCCTGCCTGCTAGCCCCACCTATCCTTTCTCTAGCCTTGCTATTGACCATTCAGTTCTTTATTAGACTATCAGGTGTTTTGGACAGGCATAGGTGTTCTGGACAGGCATAGTAACACAGCTTCACAGAGTTAAACAAATGCAACATAAACAAAAATAACAGACCTTAAAATATTACCCAACAAAACTCAGGTTGCTAGTGCCTTCATCAAGGGAGTCATTTCCCTGGCTCCTAGGCTTGGAGTTACTCTTAATCTTTTTTAGATTTTGTTTTCATTTATAGTTTGTTGTGTGTTGTGTACATGCACATGCCATGTGTGTGGGTGCCCTAGAGGCCAAATACTTCATCCGATTCTCTGGAGCTGGAATTATAGACCATTGTGAGCTGCCCGAGGGTGTTGGCAACTGGACTAGGGTCTTCTAGAAGAATGGCAAGTGTTCCTAACTCCTGAGCCATCTCCAGCCCACCTTGAGATTTAGAACATGTTTAAAATTTAGACTACAGGTGGTGGTGGTGGGGTCACAACTGCTTGTAATTCCAGTTCCAGGGGATCTGACACCTTCTTCTGGCCTCCAAGGACACCCACACATGTGGCACATATAATATGCTCAGGCAGACATAGTATTTATTTGTGTATGTGCAGGCTCACAAGTGTCATTGTTCGAGGGTAACCTGTGGGAGCTGGAGTTGATTTTCTCCCTCTATCATGTGGGTCCTGGTGTCCAAGCTTGGGACAAGCGCCCTTACCTGTTGAGCCATTTTGCAGGCCAAGACTTACATCTTTTTTGGAGACAGGGTCTCATTATGAAGATCATGCTGGTCTTAAACACAGAAATCTACCTACCTCTGCCCCCTGAGCGCTGGGATTAGCAGTGAACTACCATGCCAGGCCAGTGGAATTTCTTAAACCAGTTTCTGACACTGTATGCCAGTAGGGTTTGTAATACTCATTTGAGGAACATAAATGTTTTGTAGACTGAGGCTCCTCAAACTAGTTTCGAACTCCTGGGATCAAGTAATTCTTGCCTGGGGCTGGAGAGATGGCTCAGTGATTAGGAGCACTGCCTGATCTTCCAGAGGTCCTGAGGTCCTGAGTTCAACTCCCAACAACCGCATGGTGGCACACAACCATCTATAGTGGGATCTGATGCCCTCTTCTGGCATAAAGTTGTACATGCAGATAAAGCACTCATATACATAAAATAAATAATAAAATCTTGAAAAAAAAAAAAGTAATTCTTGCCCTTAAGCCTTCTGCATAGCTGGGACTTAAAGGAGTGTCACCAAACCTTGTGGTACTGGCTTCTGCTCCCGTCTTATGTCCCAAGAGCTAGCCTAGGAGGTCTACTTTATCCCAGGGCAATTTGCTTGGTGTTTCAGGATGCTGCAGTTGCGCCAGAAGTGAAGCCCTTGAGTTCTCTGCATCTGGCATTTACTTAAACCAGATCTGTAACGAATAGATTCTAGAAGATTCTCACCTACACGTAGCTTTTTTTTTGTTTCTCCCTCCCTCCCTCCCTTTCTTCTTCTTCTTCTTCTTCTTCTTCTTCTTCTTCTTCTTCTTCTTCTTCTTCTTCTTCTTCTTCTTCTTCTTCTTCTTCTCTCTCTCTCTCTCTCTCTCTCTCTCTCCCCTCTCTCTCTCTCTCTCTCTCCTCCTCTCTCTCTCTCTCTCTCTCTCTCTCTCTGTCTGTCTGTCTCTCTCTCTCTCTCTCTCTCTCTCTCTCTCTCTCTCTCTCTCTCTCTCTCTCTCTCTCTCTTTCGTTTCTCTATGAAGCCTTTCCTGTCCTGGAATTCGTTCTGTAGACCAGGCTGTTCTTGAACTCAGATCTGCCTGCCTCTGCGTCTGGGATTAAAGGCATGAGCCACCACCGCCCGGCTATTTTTATTTTTAAAGTAGTTCTTTTTATTTTATTTACTTTTTCTTTTGAGACAGGATCTCTAGTATGTAGCTCTGGCTGTTCTGGAACAAACTATGTAGAACAAGCTGGGATTAAAGGCATGGGCCACCACTGCCTGGCTCAGAGCTTTCTGGAAGTGAGACTTTGCAGGACCCCATACCCCGGTGGTGACAGTGGGGAGCACAGAGAAACACAGAGGCCTGTTTCCTCCCGGGCCCCGCTCGACGGGGGTAGCTTTGAGCCTGGGTTTCCTTATTTATTAAAGAAAAAAAAAGGGGGGGGGGGGTAGCAACATAGCTGTTGCTACAGTTTCCAAAGGCTTCCAACGCGGTGAGATGACTCTGTCTGGCGAGATCTAAAAGCACTTCCATTCGTCACTGCCCTTCTCTGTGATCAATGGGTACCCTGGGGCACAAATGACTTAGTCGAAGTCTTTAGTCTCAAACCAACAAGAAAATAGCTCAGGTACCCGGGCCGCGCCGATTTCAGACCGAGTCCTGGAAAGCTCCGCTCCCTTCGGCCCTTCTCAATATGGCGCCGCCCAGCGGCCACCGCGCGCAGGCAGGCCGCGCTGACGTGTGTGCGCGCGCGCTTCCTCTGCGCCCCGCCCCGGCGCATGCGCGCTGCGCGCTGTCTTCTCCCAGCTTGAGCAGCAGCGGCGGCGGCGGTGGCGGCGGCGGCGGCGGCATCAGGGACGGCGGCGGCGGTGGCCGCCGCGGCGTTTGAGTGGAGGAAGATGGCGGCTCCGGGCGGCCCCGGGTCCCGCCAGCTGTGAAGATTCCCCGAGCACGGCAAGCACCGGTCTGAGGCAGAGCAGCCGTGCTCTGGCCCTGGCTCTGGCTCCTTCGCCATCGTCGCCGGAGACGCGAAGCCGAGAGCGCGGAGCGGGCTGGGCCAGGTGAGGCCTCTCCCGGTGCGGGGCCGCAGCCGGGCGCCGACGCCTCCTGCGCTTTATGTCCGGGGACCCCGGGGCACCCCGAGTCCGGCGCGGGCCCGGTGTACTGCGCGGGGGTGGGTCTTGGCGGGCCTGGGATCTTGCTGTCGTCATCTTCGGTTCCCCTGGCCGAGGTGGAGACAGGCGTCCCCTTTGCAGCTGACCCTCGGGATGGAGACAGACCTGTGCCCTCTCCTCAGCAGGGTGGTTCTGGTCCTAACCCGGGCCAGGAGAGGATGCGTGGCCAGGGCAAGAATGGCTTTCGGGGTGTCATCGAGCCTCACCCCGCCCCCTGAAACCCTTAAGTCCTCGGAGAAGAGCGGGAGACGGCTGTCCTCCCGAATTGGGGCTGCGGCGAGGGGCCCTCGTCTCGGAAGCTGCAGCTGCAAAGATGATTTTTTTGGAATTGGCTGACGAATTGAAACACAAGCAGTTCCTTTCCTGACCCCTAGCCGTTTGTGTGTTCTCTTAGGAGTGGGAACTGCAGCTCTCCTTGCCGGAGACAGCAGTCCACGTTGTTACTGAGGAAGGCTTGCCCCGGTGAGAATTGTCTGTTCAGAGAACTGTGGAGGGTGGGAACGAGTTTGTAAATCAAGAAAAAAAACAACTGAGTGAGATCCTGATAGTCTCAGCAGAGAAACTTCAGATGATGGAGTTGGTTCGGAACCTTTGGAACAACCGATTGCTTTGTCTGTTGAATCTTCTGAGTTTTAATAGGAAAATAAACGCTTCGTTTTGTTTCTCAATGACCAAAATATTTGGACTTTCATGTGGTAGCGTTCCAATGGCTCTAGATGCAGAACCAGACACATTTTCACTTGCTGGATGCAACACTGTGCTATTTTGTTATTTTGTTGTTGTTTTCTTGGAACAACTTTTTGTTGTTGTTGAAATGCTCGTAATTGAGTGACTTTGGTTTAGTTTTTCTGGTAGAGAAGACAGTTTGATGCCTGGTGGCCTTTTCATTGAGGAAGAATGGCTTCAGTTTTAATTATGGTATTGTGAATTGTTGGGACCATCTCTTTTGCTTGGACACACCAAACGTCTTTTGTAACAAATCGGGCTATGCTTGTGCTTAAGAATGATGACATCATGGATTTAAAGGGACAAGGGAAATTGCCGAAGAAACATCATCATTTAGAATTCAGTCTGTAGCTCTTAAGCTGGTCAGGGATGCTCTCTGTCAAATTCTGAGTTTATTCAATTGTCTAGTGCGGTTGGCTGTCTTTTCTGTTGCATGCTGATCAGTTTATATCCTATAGCTGTTTGCTTTAGATAAGCCCAATTTAATATAGCGTTCAATCTACGTTGAGCCATGAGTGTTTTTTTGCACTTCAGCCAGCTTTTAATGACAGCTATTAAGTTAAAACGACAATTACTTCATTTAATATTAGCTACTTCTTTGGCCATTTTTTCCCTTTCTTAAATTAGTGTTTTCTATAGAAATGTGTAGATTTCCTGAGTGTCTTTTCTAAAGATGTAGACTTGAAGCAAGAGTTGGAGACTGGAGGACCATTCTGCATGTTGGTTTGCTAACAGTCATAAAATCAGTGGTGCTTTGATATTATGCTCCTTGGCATCATCTGTTATGTCGCTGTGCTTCATAATCATCAGGTATTAATGGAACTCTGTGACATCATTCACTTGCAGCGTTTCAGCTTTATTTCCTTACCTGTCTCAGGTACAAAATGAGAAAGATCAGGAAAAGCAGCTAAGGATGCTTTTTTTTCTTTTTAAGGTTTATCTATTTCATTTTATGTGTACAGGTATTTTGTCTGCATGCACATTATGTGCACCGTGTGCATGCCTGGTGCCATGGATCTCCTGGAACTGGAGTTATAGACAGTTGTGAACTGCCATGTGGGTACTGGGAATTGAATTCAGGTCCTTTAGAGGAGCAGCCAGTGCTCTTAACCACTGAGCCTCGGATGCTTTTTTTTTTAAGATTTATTTTTATTATTTAAAAAAAAAATGTGTGTGCGTGCCTGCACATGAGAGAGAAAGAAAGAGAGGGACAGGGAGAGGGACAAGGCTAGAGAGAGAGAATCCATGTGTTAGCAGAGGCCAGAGGCATCGGATTCTCTGGAGCTGGAGTTACAGGCGGTTGTGAGCCATCTGGTGTGGATGCTAGGAGTTAAACTTGGATCTGCAAGAGCAGTAAGCACTTTTAACCACTGAGCCATCTCTCTAGCCCCAGGATGTTTCTTAATGTCGATTTCTGGAAGGGCTTTATTGAATATCATTTTATGTAGCTGTGTGATGTGCCTGTAAAGAGCAGGCAAAGAACGAGTTAGCCAGACCTTTGGTTTATAACATGCTGAAGCCTCCAGGGAGGCTAGTCTAGGGATGAAGAGTATGTGATTATGTGTTTTTGGGGTGTTTTAGTTAGTGAATTAACAATTCTTTAGAAAACCCAAATGCCTGTGGTTCAGTAATGGTATTCCCACTTTACAAAATTGTTATGTAGATAAAGAGATAAGTTTGTGAAAGCACTCTTAAAAATGTTTACTTTGAAATATGTAAAATAGTTGGTCATGACAGTGCAGGTCATTGATCCCAGCACTCAGGAGGCATAGATAGGCAGATCTCTGTGTGTTCTAGGTCAGCCTGGTCTACTTACCGAGTTCCAGGATAGTCAGGGCTTCAATAATGAGACCCTGGCTTAACAACAACAACGACAACAAAAGGTATAATACAAGGGAAATAGAAGATTAACTCTTTAATAAAACATCTATTAAAAGGCCCCCTCTCTGTGTTGGGTCCTTAAGGAAAGAGGTTTGATGATTCTAAATTCAGCTTTTTATCTAAAAGTTGCCTAGAGCCTGGTTGGAAAGCCAGACAAGAAAACTAGTTGCTTATTATAGTACAGTGAGTGCACTTGTCCAACCTGCAGAGAGAAGGGAGGTTCTCAGAGCTGGGGGAGGAGGGTGTTCCCCAGCTTTGCCTATTCTGTTAATCATTTATTTCTTAAAAAAAAAAAAATTAGATTTATTTTATTTTATGGCTATGGATTTTTTTCCTGAATGTGTGTTCACATGTGCTTGTTTGGTGCTCTCAGAGTTTAGAAGAGGACATGGGACTCCCCAAAACTGGAGTGGTGGATGACTGTGAATCACCATTTAGGTGCTAGGAATCCAACCATTGTCCTCTGGAAGAGCAGCTGGTGCCCTTAACCACTGAGGCATTTCTCCATCTCTGGAATTGGTTTATTTCTTGTCTTAGTATGTATCCTGTGCTAGCCCAGGTCCTCACCATTCTCTTCCTGCCTTCCCTAGGGCTGGGTTTCTAGGTGTGCACTGCTACACTACACATAGCTTAGGAAAACAATTTTTTTTTGTCCTTAGTTCTTTGCCCTTTTGTTCATTCGATGTCATGTTTCCTACACAGCCTGCCCCACTTAGGCTTTCTGAATTGTCAAAGATCCAGCAATCTTGGGAGAGCCTTTCTTAGTGAGTCACAGACGAAGCAGGAAACATTCCCCTCAGTGAGTGTCCCTCAAGTTCTGAATGAGGAAACTTCAGAGTGACACTTTTTTTTTTTTTTTTTGAAACAAGGTTTCTCTGTGTAACAGTTCTGACTGTCCTGGAACTCACTTTGTAGACCAGGCTGGCCTTGAACTCACTGAGATCTTCCTGCCTCTGCCTCCCAAGTGCTGGGATTAAAGGCAAGGACCACCACTGCCCGGCTAGAGTGATACTTTTTATTTTTTTTATTTTTTGGACAAATCAGCACATGGGCATTGTGTTTTAGGTGCTGCTACAGGGATGATGATGATGATGATGATGATGATGATGATGGAGAGTGCTGGGGGGACCTAGTCCCGGCCTTGCAAACACAAGGCAAATACTTTGCCACTGAGTCCTGTTTTGTGTTTTTATTTTTCAGTGTGTATAGGTCTTTTGCCTACATGTATGTTTGTGCACTATGTACATTCCTGGTGCCCACAAAGGCCAGAAGAGTCAGTGGATCCTGGGAAAATGGAGTTGCAGAGGGTTTTGAGCTGCCATGTGGTTCTGGGAATCCAGTTCAGGTCTTCTGGACAAGCAAGGAATGATCTTAATTGTTGCTGAGCCATCTCTGCAATCTGCCACCCTGCACGGTGTCGTGTCCCCCCCCCCCCCCCCCCCCCCCCCCCCCCCCCCGTTTGTTTGTTTTTTGAGACAGGTTTAGTTGGTTCCAAGCTGGCCTGGAACTTGTCACCTTCCTGCCTCCTACTCCCTATCTGTAATTGGATTACAGATATGTGCACCATGCCTAGCGCTGTGTATTTTCACTGGCCTTGAACTCACTGTGTATAGCAGAAGATGACCTGGGATTTCCTCTTGCCTCTGCCTCCCTAGCACTAGGATTACAGGCCTCTATTACCAAGCCTGATTTATTTGGTGCTGAGGATCCAGTTGTAGGCTGTGTGTGCATGCTAGACAAGCACTCTCCCAGCTGAGCCGCATACCCAGCCACTTGTTATTCTGTATTGTAACAGTTTGTTGCATGGAAGTAGGATATGACCTATATATATATAAGTCATTTCAAAATTACCTAGAATTGAGTGCATAATACATGTTATTTCTGAAATAGTTCCTATGACATTACAAGTCTTGGAAATTATGACTTAGTGGCATTCCTGTTGCTTGATTTTTGCATTTGCTTACTGATGCATCTATCAGAAGGCAAATTTGGTGTGAATTCTGGATGTTCTTCTTGAATTAAAATTTTTACCTTTATTTGTAAAAAAAAAAATTCACTTTGTTTTTATTCTGTTTTGTTTCAGAAGGTGGAAGTTTTGCACAGTACTTTGAGATGGTGTGGTTTTATGTGCATATGTGAATCTGATAAACATGGAGGTATTATGTAAACTTTTATTGTTCTGGATTGTAGTTTAGCTTGGATAATCTTCCTTCTTTCCCTCTCTCCCTCCCTTCTGACTTGAAGCTGGGGACTTCTGCCTGCCCTGGTCACAGCCCCCA